GGCATTTCTTCCTTGTTTAGCGTATGGAGAGCCCCAGACATGGCGGACGTAGGTCCCTCCCAAGCTCGGAGGGGCTCTGGGAGCCCCCAGCTTGGGATGCGGGGCCTGCCTCAGGTCGGGCCCCCTGCAGGCGAGGCCGAGCTGGAGACTGGCTGCAGGAGGTCATGGGGGTGGTCTTGACACCAGCTGGGGGGGAGCAGGGGTGGAGTTGGGGTGCAGTGCACCACAACAGAAGCCTCCACCCCCCCATGGAGAACTCTGGAGCCTGATGCCCTTTAGGGTTGTCCCCACTGAGGCCTAGAGCAGGGCCTTAATCCCCTGCAAGATGACGAGTCACACTGGGGGTCAACCCCGGGAAAGAGACTCAGCTGTGTGCTGTCGGCAGCCCCCTCCGCACCCTTACGGGGGGTCCGGGCGGCCCGTAGCACCCACTAGGTCTCCACGGCAGCCTCTCCTGGCTCCTATGGCCCTCGGTTCAGGGTAGGTGGAAACGGGGGAGCCACACTGTCATGAGCTGAATGATGTCCCCCCAAATTCATATGTTGAAGTCCCAACCCCCAGGAACTCAGAATGTGACTGTATTTGGAAATAGGGCCTTTACAGGGGTGATTAAGTTAAACTGAGGCCCTTAGGGTGGCCCTGGACCAGTCTGACCGTGTCCTGATAAGAAGAGGAGATCAGGGCACAGATGCACACAGAAAGACGACCACGTGAGGATGCAGGGAGAAGACGGCCGTCTACATGTCCAGGACAGAGGCCTCAGGAGGAGCCCTGCCCACACCTCGACCTCAGACTTTCAGCCTCCAGGACTGTGAGAGGATCTGTGTCTGTTGTTCAAACCCCCTTCCTGAGCGCTTGGTCCTGGTAGCCCTAGGACAACCCCACCAGACCCATCCTGAAAGCGCTGGCTGCTCTGTGCGGAGGTGCCAGGTTCTGTTAGTAAAAATGCGTCAACGGGCGCGCATGAGAGTAGAAGGCAGGAGGAGAAGGGGCCAAATGGTGCAAAATGTCCCATCGGGTGTGGCAGGGAGGGGGCGGTGCAGGCAGCAAGCGGGTCTCCACGGCCCCACCCCCTGCCAGGCCTCCCCTCCCCCAGGTCTCCCTCCAACCCCAGCCTGAGTGCTGGCTGAAGGTTCTCCCAGCCAGAGGCGGGAGGGAGAGCAGGAACCACGCGCAGGCGTGCAGGATGGTGGTGGAAGCTGACGCATTAGCTGACGCATCAGCTGGACAGGCTGTATCTCACGTCGCAGTCCCCGCACGCTCAGTGCTGTCTCCCAAGGTCTGTCCTTGGCTCTGATGCTCTTCCGGCTCTTCCCTAAAGCAGCTCCTAGGTCCGCTGCCCGCCTGGCCAAAGGCAGGACACGCTTTTGGGAGGGGGCCAAATTCTCTCCCAACTACTGGACAGCCACAGAGTGGCCGGTGACCCTCCGAAGGTGGCACTGACTGGAGCCAGGTCCCCACTGCCTGGCCAAGCGGGACTGTCCCTGGGGCTGTGCTCGCCAAGCAACAGCCCCCCCTCCCGCTGCCTCCCCCAGTCCCAGCTCAAACACACCTGCTCCTGCAGCCCCCTGGACGGCCCCTCTCCTGAAGCCTCCCGTCCGTCCTGTGGGATCTTCTCTCCAGCTCTTACCTGGTTGCTATTCTGCTCAGTTAATCATCCCAAGATCTGGGTGCTTTTCTGTCCATCATCGTGTGCTCTCTGCCTGTGTCTGTGCCGGGCATCTGGCAGGGGTGGGCTCCTCCAGGCGTTCCGATCGGGCTTCCTCACAGCATGGCGGCCCCAGGAGGGCAGGGCATAGGCTCACCAGCTCCAGTGTCCCATTCTGGTCTCACAGGCCCACCCAGATCCCAGGGGGACACAGGCCCCATCTTTCCAGAGAAGGAGTCTGGGGGCCAGGTTTTGAAACGGCCGCAGCATCCTATGCTAGATTGGCTTCTGGGGCTGAGTGGGGTCCTCTCCGCTACCTGCCTCCCCCAGCCCCTGATATGGGCACCAGAAGTGCCCGATCAATGCCGAGACCACAGGCCCAGGATTTCTGCCACCCAGTGTGGGACGCAGGAGTCCCGGGTCCTCCTGGCGGGCATCCCTGGCAGGCGGACAGTGTGTGCCATGCACCCCCAGGCCAGGCCTCCTGTGCCCTGTGCAGGCTGCACCCTCGCCAAGGAGCACACAGGCGGGGGGCACAGAGGAGCCCCTGCCTAGCAGGGACCCCCGCATCTGTACCATGCGCGTGTGTGCCTGAGTGTGCTCACGCGTGTGCCTGTGTACACGTGTGCATGTTCATGAGGGTTGCACACGTGTACTAGATGAAGTGGGGAGGGGGTCCAGGCGGAGACAGAGGCCCGGCCAAAGTCTCCAGGTGGGAGAACACGGGCAGGCGCATCTAGCGACCGCGAGAGCCTGGGAGCCAGGGCTGGAGGGGGCGCGGAGCCCTGTGGCTCAGAGGTTGAAGCAGGAGCCTCTCAGAGTAAGGCCCAGAGAGGCTGGAGGGACAGCTGGACTTCGTCGTCCGGGACCTTAGGAGAGTCGTGTCAACAGATGGCCAGGGTGAGGGGCCCGCGACCCCTCTGGGGAGAGAGAGGCAGAGACAGACAAAGACAATGAAGAGAGACAGAGATAAAGAGGCAGAGACAGAGACAGAAAGACAGAAACGGAGATAGAGACAGAGACAATGAAGAGAGACAGAGATAGAGAGAGACAGAGACAGAGGGAGACAGAGATAGAGACAGAGACAATGAAGAGAGACAGAGATAGAGAGAGACAGAGACAGAGGGAGACAGAGACAGAGAGCATGAGCTGGAAAGAGACGTGGAGCTGACACAGCTGTTGCTTCACATCCAGCAGGAGGCAGGAGTGGCAGGGAGGGCACCCTGCAGTGCCCATGAGGAGCAGCGTGGCTTCGGGTGGGCTCGGGGGCCTGCCCGCTGGGCTCAGCGTGTCCACGTGAGAGGAGGGGACCACCATGCACTCAGGGCGCTAGGCGCATCCTTCCCCACCGTGCGGGTGCTCTCGACGAGCACTGTCCCTGGACTTCTTGCTGTCCATCAGGACAGAGCAGAGGCGCGAGCCCAGTGGGGGGCGGGCGGGCGCAGCTGGCCCGGGGGTCTTCCGTCCGGCCTCAGGGCACTGCTCTCAGCCCCTCCTCGCAGGACGCTGTCAGCAGGGTGGCGCAGGCATCACCCTCTGGGTCCTCCCTCCCACCCCACTGCTCCCCTGCACCGGCCTGTGACCCCAGGAGAACCCATAGGGCCACGTCCTCCAGGTGCAGGGAGGAGAAGCCAGAGCCCACGCGCCCGAGGAGCGAGGGGCGGCCAGGCACATGGTCCCTGCACCTGCACCAGCCTCCCTGCCAGCTTCCTTGAAAGCTGGGGGCCTCTTTTGTATTCCAAAGTTCAAAGGGCCAAGCTTGCCTGTAATTAAAATGCCCCGTCCTTTAATTACAGGTCCCATAACACATGAAGGGCATCTACTGAAATACGACGTGTTACACAGTCATTTCTCTGCTGTTAATTACTAATTAATGAAGCTATTTCAATTAATAGCTTCCCTACCTCGCTCCCCCTTTGACAGGCGCCGTGCTGGGGCGCGTCCCGCAATCAGATGAGGCTTCCAGCCACCTTGCTGAATATTCATGCCACGGCTTCAACGGTGTTCAATTAAACATGATAAAGCAAAAAAAAAAGTGCCCATCAAAAGTGTGTTCCTACGCGCAGCCCTGCTCCTTCTGCAGGAACCAGCGGACGGAACGAACGGCAGGCTCCACCGAACACTGGAGAGAACACGGCCCGCGGCCTCGGGGGCGCCCCAAATGCCCAGGATGGCCCCTGCACATCCCACCCAGGAAAGGCGAGCAGGGGTCCCCCAGGGGCAAAGGGGCACCCCCAGGGCCTTGTCCTACAGCTGAAGGACAAAGCCAGAAGTGGGGGTGGGGGGAGCCCAGAGAGGTGGGGCTAATTAACATGCTAATTACAGATATTAACTGGCCATTAAAGATCCTGTTTTAAAGAAATGACAGAAGAGTGTCACTTATGGTGACCAGGAGGGGACACCCCGCCTGAGAGCGGGAGATGGGGGAGGGAGCCCGGCGAGGCCTGTGTGGGGCTGGTGGGGTCTGGGGACAGGACATCGGGGGGAGCCTGGACTGGCACATCCTGGGCCCCAGGGGGACCCCAGCCCATCCTGACGCCAAATTCCTGCAGTCCCAGGTCGGGGGACAGCCCTGCCCCTGAGGACACCTGTGCCCTGGGGAGAGGACCGGGGGACGGCCCCCCCAGGACCTCCAACCCCGAAGTCCTGCTGCTGTCTGTCTTCTTGTTAGAAGAGGACACAGACCTTCCCTGGTGACGCAGTGGTTGGGAATCCGCCTGCCAATGCAGGGTACACGGGTTCAAGCCGTGCTCCGGGAAGATCCCACATGCCGCGGAGCAACTAAGCCCGTGCGCCACAACTACTGAGCCTGTGCGCCTAGATCCCGTGCTCCGCAACAAGAGAAGCCACCGCGGGCTTCCCTGGTGGCACAGTGATTAAGGATCTGCCTGCCAACGCAGGAGACATGGGTTTGAGGCCTGGTCCAGGAAGATCCCACATGCCGCAGAGCAATTAAGCCCGTGTGCCACAATTACTGAGGCTGCGCTCTAGAGCCCGCAAGCCACACTCCAGAAGCCCGGGAGCCTAGAGCCCATGCTCTGCAACAAGAGAAGACACCACGATGAGAAACCCACGCACTGCAACGAAGAGTAGCCCCCACTCACCACAACTAGAGAAAGCTCGCACGCAGCAACGAAGGAACCAACGCAGCCAAAAATAAATAAATTAAATAAATAATTTTTTAAAAAAAGAGAGAGAAGCCACTGCAATGAGAAGCCCGTGCACCGCAACGAAGAGCAGCCCCCGCTCGGCACAACTAGAGAAAAGCCCGTGCGCAGCAACAAAGACCCAACGCAGCCAAAAATAAATAAATAAATTTATAAAAAGAAAGAAGAAGTGGACGCCGTAACCCCGTGTGTGCAGGCCCAGCAGCCAGCGGGAGGGACCCACAGTGGGGACCCAGACTGGGGGAGGGGTGGTGGGAGAGGGTCCCCGCTCCCATACGCGCACCCCCAGGTCCTGCCGCTCCTCGGGCCCCCTCCCGCCTGGGGGTCCAGCCTCGAGCCTCCCTGCGCCTGGAATGTCCTTCCAACCCGTCCCTTCCTACAGAGCTGAGGGGCAAGAGCACCGGCCTGCACGGCACAGGGTGGCCAGCTGGACCCCTCGGCTCCCACCTGGCGCCCTAGGGAAGCGTCAGGTCGGCTGCTCTGGGGCCGGGAAAAGCCCTGTCAGACGGCGCCCTCTGTCAGCCAGCTGCAGGAGGACAGCAGCCTGGCCCTCCCGAGGCGCCTCCTGGCTGTGGGCCAGGCAGGCAAGGCGTACACACATGCGTGCACAAATGCACACACACACATGCACTATTGCACACATGCCCTGCACAAGTGCACACTCACGGCCCCGGGCGGCCAGAGCCCCTCCTCTCAGGAGGGAAGTGTCTGGGGTTTGGTGGCCCTACAGACTCCGCACCGGCTCTCCCCCTACTGCACTCAGGGTTGGTGTCGGCCCTGGGATCCTGCCAGGGCCAGCCGGGCTGGGGACGTGTCTGAGCCTGGCTGCACCAGATAACACAGTGGGGCCCGGCCATCCTCCCGCCCATCTGTGCTAACGCTGCCCTCCCTGCCAACAACCATTTCACCTGGAATCCTCGGAGCCCGACCCAGGGCCCAACACTGGCATTGGGAAGGGTTGAGGGGCCGCACCCAGCTCCAAGGTCACACTGAGCACGAGGGACGGCAGTGACGGGAGGAGGCTGGGCCCAGCTACTGCACAGCAGGCCCAGGGCCCCCACATCCTGGCTTCTCCCTCCCCTATTCTGCCAGGTGCTAACAGAAGCGTGACCAGACTCGGATTCCAGGAGGCCGGGGATCCCAGTTTACACGTATGCCCTAGGACCCCCTGCTGAGCAGGACCCACCAGCACCTTCTGGGTCCCGCATCCCTTCAGGGCTCGAGCACTGAGACCCCAGACGGCTATGTTCCCACGGGAAGGGCCGTCTCTCTCACGCTCTCCAAGAGTTTACAGTTTGCTGTGGGTTAGAAAGAAAGGTGTTACTCTCACATCCATGCTCACAGCAGCGAATTCACGGCGGCCGAGAGGTGGAAGCAGCCCACTGTCCACCGATGGATGAAGAGCTGAACAACACGTGGTCCCGCCATACAATGAAGTATTACACGGACTTACAAAGGAAGGAAATCCCAGCACGCGCTACAGCATGGACGAACCCTGAGGACACCATGCTTAGCGAGATGAGTCAGTCACAAAAGGACAAATGCTGTAGGATACGTTTCCATTGAGGTCCCTAAAGGGTCAAGTTCATAGAGACGGAAAGCAGCGCCAGGATCTGGGGGAGGGGGAGGGGAGAGCTCCAGTTTGGGAGGAGAAAGTCACGACGATGATGGCGGTGACGGTTGCCCAACAAGAAGGCAGAGCATCCCTGCGCTGCGGGCACGAGGACACACCTGCGTCCTGTGTCCTGTGTCCTGTGTCCTGTGTCCTGAGGAAACCACCCCGCCCCGGGGAGTTTCCCGGGCAGGGCTCCCAGCTCGGGACAGCACAGCCTAGAAACCCACCCGCGGTTTCTCATGAAAACCCCCAGCCGAGCAGACAGCGCGGCCTTTATGGCAAATTAACATTCTGGCTGCATCTCCGTGAACAGTCAGGCCAAACCTACAGGGGCCAGACTCACTCTGTAATCGCGAATCTTTCTTTCAGAGTCTTTCTGATCACAAGTGGGGGGGCTGCGGGAGGAAATCTTTGCTTACATGGAAAATTAGGAGTTGTCTGATTCTAGAATCTACACAGCTGACAGCTACACCAAGCAGCTCCGACACAGACGCACAGGCGGGGTCTGTCCAGAGCGGGAGCTAGGAAACCCCACCTCGGCTGTATTTGCACGTGTGTGTCAGCATCCTGGAGGATCAGTATGTCTGTTCTTGGCATTTTCCTTCAACTGTTTGAAACACGTTGCTGGTTTCCTCGAACTAGTGAAATAAATCTTTAACACTCATTTATTCTTTTCATAAGAAGGGCCTTAAATAACATTATGGTTTTCTTTTTAAATAGTTTAATAGTCATCATTTAAATAAGGCTTTGGTGTGCTTTTCCATTCTCATAGTTTCTTTTCTCTGCATATACATCTTGCAAAATCTATTATTAATCCGCGAGACGACCGGCCCCTCTATTGTAAACAAGGAGGGAGAAAGAGAATGCGGACCGGTGGGTTCACTGGTTCCGGGGCGTGTCCTGGCCAGGAGCGGGTGCCCACGCGCCCTCCCCAGGCACCAGGGGAGCAGGACGCATCGCCAGTGCCTGGGAATCCACGGGAGGGGACGCCGGGGGCAGGGTCCCCAACGATGCACAAGGGCCTCGAGCCCCCACTTCTGCCCACCCATCGAACTGGGGGGCCTCAGCCTGGGTGCCTAGAGAAGCGGAAACACCACAGCCCTCCCTGGCCTTCTTCTAGAGCTGTGGTCCTCAGCCAGGGGGCGGGTCTCCCGGGGACACTTGGTGATGTCAGGAGACAGGGTTGGCTGTCATGACTGGGGGGGGTCATCTAGTGGGTGGGGGCCAGGGATGCTGCTAAACGCCCCACAGTGCACAGGACGGCCCACCACAGAGATCCGACCCCAAGAGCAGAGAAACAGAGCCAGGCAGGTCTGGGGAGAGACTCCAGTGGGGCGCCCTGCCCTGCAGTGACACGGCCCCGGGCGGGCTGACCACGTGGGGCTTGTACGGCTCTACGAGGAACAGGCCGTGTCTGTGACGAAGCTGCTGCTGCTGAAGATGCTAATCCGCCCACCGTGAGGTCCCATCAGCCCGGAAGGAGGCTGCGACCCCCAAGGGCGGGGGAACCGGACCGCACCCTCCTGCTGGGCTGAGGCTCCCCCGCCTCTGCTCACCCTGCGGGCCAGGAGCAAGGGGCCTCTAAGCTGAACGCTGTCCCCGAGGGGACGGCGCTGGGTCCTCGGGGACAGGGGGTCGGTCGGCTAGAGGTCCTCATGGGCGGGGCTCAGGTCCACCCGCTGGGCCTTCCCAAACACCAGGAAGGTGCATAGCCCAAGGCTGCTGACGGCCGCCACCAGGTCGAACACGGATGTCCAGGAGCCCGTCGTCTCGATGAGGTAGCCACCCAGGCACACGCCCACGACTCCTGCACCCTCGAGAGGGGACAAGCAGACGGGGTGATGGGCCATCCTGCCCCTTTGAGGACAGCTTTGAGGGGAGCTGAGGGCGGGGGGGCCTGAGGGCATGAGCCCCGTCACCCAGGCACTCGGCCTCTGGGGACCCTGGACCTCGGGGATTCACTCACATCTGCGGGTCACGTGGTTGGGGACGGTTACATGCCATTGGAAGCATGAGCACCGTGGAAGACGGCTCTGTGCTCTCCCCCGGCCAGCTCTGGGGTCTGGGCTCCCCCCCGCCCGCCACTGCTCCGACACTGTGGGGACCCCCCAAGGGGTGCCACGCCCCACCCTGAGGGCTGAAGCAGCGGAGCAGGTGGGAGGACACAGGCGTGGGGGGGCACCCCGGGGAACTCTGGGTTTGAAACCCGCAGGCAGGGGACCCCAGCCCACTTCTCACCTGCCAAAGCCCCAGCTGTGTTGGCCACACCTGAAACAGGACAGAGAGAACGAGGACCAGTCAGCGGAGGCCCACTGTGACCCTCCCACGGCGCACCCACCTGGGGGCCCTGGGAGCGGGGAGGGGGTGAGCGGGGAGGGCAGCCACTTCCTGTCCAACGAGGGGCCGAGGTCCTCACCAAACAGAAAGCCGGCACAGGACGGGGCCAGGTCCTGGATATTAACGGAAATGCCGCTGCGGGAAGAGGGAAGGACGCGGGTGAGTGACCACAGGGCGGCCGCCACCCGCCAAGCCGGCGGTCGGTCCTCCGGTCACCTGGATCCCAGAGGCTGGCCATGCCAGGAGCTCAGCCCCAGCTCAGCGGTTACGCATGGGACCCACTCCCAGGATGAAACAAGACAGGGAGGTGAGTTTGCCTGGACTCACACTCATTTGCTACCCGATAATCTGGAAAACGACATCAAGGTGCCGATTCCCAAGACAAGTCAGTGCAGTTTTTCTTACTAAACACTGAGCTGCTGCGCAGGCCGGGAGGCCCGCAGAACAACACGTGGGATCCGATGGGCTCGCTCCCCACCTTTGGTTCAAAAGATGCTGCTTGGGGACCCTCATCTGCTCTGCCAGCCCCTCCCCAAGCACCCGTTTTGCTTTCCCAAAAGGCCCAGGTCCTCACCGGCTTGATACCCTGACTGCCCTTCGCCTCACGGCTCACTTGTGGGGACCTGCCATGCGCCCGCCCTCCATGTGCGCCCCGAGCCAGGGGCCCAGGACCCGGGAGCCCAAAGGCAGCGTGGGTGGCTCTGGTGGACGAGGAACCTGGCCCTTACCTGTGGTTGAAGGTCTGGAGGCCGATGGAGGCTGATGCAAAGACCACAGACTTACAAAAGCTCGAGGTGTGGCCCAAACACAGGGCAAAAACGCTGGACAGGCCGAGGCCCATCGCCTGCGGGAGAGACGAGTGGGGACGGGGTGGGAGTCTCGCCCCTTCCTGGGCTGCCTGGGCCACACTGAACGAGGGTCGGTGGGCACCCCTCCCGGGCTGGGGCCTGCCTGGAGGCCACTGGGACGAGGCTGCACGAATGATCTGGACCTGCTGGTCATAGCCCATTCGACGTGAGCCGACCCAGGCCCCCAAATGGGCACCAGGACTCAGGGAAGGGCCTCAGGTCAGCCAAGCCAGTCCCAAGCACTGCCCCACAGTGCCCTCCAGCCACTGTGCCACACCAGTCCCCTTCTAGGTCAGGGGCCCCAGGAACAAAACAGGGACGTCCGGAGGGAGAGAGCCGTCCCACGACCCTCCTACCTGCATGAACTTCCGCACAGTGATGGTCCTGTAACCTAGACGGGGAGACCAGGAGACATCCTGTCGGCCCATCTGTGCTGTCCCACCCCAGACGGCACCCAGAGTGGGTCCCACCCTCACGGCTGCGCGGAGGGAGCGGGGCGAGGAGGGCCGGGCTGGGCTGGGGGTGGGGCAGCCCCTGCATCGCCGTGAGCCGCGCACACGTGTATGAGCCTGTGCACTTAGAGGGTTCCCAAGGCCGAGGCCTGGCAGACGCACCTGAGCAAGGCCACTCTATGGTTACAAAGTGCTTTCTTTGTGTTTCTACCAATTTTCTAATTTTTCCACAATGAGTGGGTGGTTCTTCTGTAACTAGGACAAGACTGACATTTAAGGACGTGCAGTGCTGGGTCGTGGGGAGCTTGCGTGTCTGCGGGACAGTCATCCTCGGGCCGTGTGCACTCGGGTCTCAGGCCTGAGACCTCTGACCTCACCAGGTGCCCTTTCCTCCTCTGAAGAGGCCGGGGGCTGTGTCCAGCCCCCAGGTGGAGGAATTCCACCGTCGCAGTGTGACTGTGTCCCAATGTCCCCACCTGGGGAAACAGGCTGGGGGGTGAGAAGCTGGAGGCAGTCATCAGCAGTCGGGCCGGGAGCCGGGCTCCACGGGCCCACCTGGCTGGCTCTAAGGGCCAGGGGTCCCACTCTCACGGCCTGGTCCTCGGGGGCGTGGCCTCTTCCCGTCGCTACAGGAGCACCCCAGGAGGGGTGCCTCTCTGCCCCCCAGAGTGAGGCAAAGCCCAGGCATGGCTCCCTGCCCGGCCCCTCCCCCAGGGCTCACCCTGATTGATGAGACGGTCTGAGAGAAGCCCGCTGAACAGACTGGCGGGAATGGCCACTAGCCAGGGCACCACGTTGAAGACCCAGCCCTGCAGGGAAGGAGGGTGCAGGGGCCTCAGAGGCCACCAGGGCAGGTGCGCGACCACGGGGAAAGGACGAACAGCCCAGGCGGTCATCCACGCCCACCACTGCCCACCAGGCTCTCTGCCCACAGGCTGGGCCTCCGAGATCCTAAGTCATCCCCGACCTTGACTGAGCGCTGGGCCCTCAAGTGCTATCACCCCTGCAGGCAGAGCCTCCCTCATGGCTCCCCACACCCCGCAGGGCAGAGCTGGGGGGCCGCACCCTGCCCAGAGTGTGCAGCCAGGGGGCCCCGGTCACCAGAATTGGGAGGGTAGCCGGGCGGCTGGGGTGCAGTCAGCCAGGCTGACCAGCAGCTGACATCTGTGCCCACATCACAGCCCCTGCGTGCCCCCCCCCCCCCCCCCGGAAGGACTGTCCGCAGACGGGCAGGCAGCCGCGGCAGCAGCTGGGCCTCTCCTGTGTGCACCCAGGTGCGGCCGCTGAGCCAGGAGGCGGCAGAGCCGCCAGAGCTCGGCGGAAGGAACCCAGGGCCCCTCTGCGTGTGCTTCGCGGCGCCCCCCAACCCTGTGAGCTGCCGGGCAGCCAACCCACCTTGGAGCTGGGGAAGGTCTCCTTAAAGAAGGTCGGCAGCCAGGAGAGGAGGATGAAGAAGGAGCAGGCCGCTGAGAGCTGGGAGATGATGGCCGCCCTGGGGGGGCGGGGGCCAGGCTCAGGGTCCACACCCCAGCCCCTCCCCACACCCAGGGCAGCCAGGGGCCTGAGGGCTCGGAGCCCAGAGTGGAGCCGCCCCCGCGTGGGCCGCTCGCCCTGTGGCCGAGGTCCCCAGGGCCCCAAACCCCATCCCCGCAGCAGCCCGGCTCACCAGACAGAAGGCTTTCGGAAGAGCTGTCTCCAGGGCACCTTGGTGTGTCTGGACACCGGCAGGCCCTGCGCCAGGATGCCCAAGGCCAGGATGAGATCTGAAGGGCAAGGCATCTCCACGTGAAAGCCATTCAAAGAGGGTGGACGGCTCTGCCCCCACAGGCCAGAAGCTGGGGGCGGCTCGCAGCTGTGCCTGGGGGCCATCCCGTCCTCTCCGCCAGAGCCTGGGGTCGGCAGCATCTGCCCTCGAGGGTGGACAGTAGTGTGGCCATCTGTCCCCTGAGTCCTCAAACGCTCCAGGCCCCACTCCTGTCACCGGGAGCCACCTCTACCCCTGCAATCTGCCTCTGCCGGCTGCGCAGCCCCCTGCACGTGTGCGTTCACCCGGCGACTCTCACACCAGACTTGACCGTAGCCGGCTGAGACTCAGGGAGTGGGCATCTTCTGTGAGGCTCTACCTAGGGGATCCTGGGGCCCCCGAGCTGGCCTGCTCTTGGGGGTTCGGTGGCCGCTCGCTGGAGGGGACAAGGCACCAGGGCCCCCGCCCTTCCCGGGCAGCAGCACGTACCTTTCTCACCCAGCAGACACCTGTACACGTAACACACCCACAGCAGGGTGAGCCCACCCGAGAAATAGAAGACGCTCGGCCAGCCGTACCAGTCCAGGAGCAGGGAGCCTACGGCCCCCGTCACCAGTGTCCTGGAACGACAGAGAGGGGCGTGGCTGGGACCCTCGCTTCACTGGGGTGCGGAGACATCTCCGAGATCCCTACCCCAGGTGACCTGAGTCCCTAGAAAAGAGCATTTCTATCCCCTGTGAGGCAACTGCCCGGAAGGCTGGTCCCCAGGCAGCTTGCTAGGGATGTGATAAATGGAATGTTTATAAATGGAATATTTCCTGCCATATCGACAAACAAAGGATGTCACATTCATCAAGGATTGCAGCCCTCCAACGTGAGCCAGTGAGCCCTGAGGAAACTCAGGGCTGAAAAGAATACCTGCTATCCTGCAGCCGTCTGACTGCAGCCACTCCCTGCGGTGAGCCCTGCGGAAACTCAGGATGTGAAAATACAGGACACTGGCCCCAGAGAGCTGAGGTGCACATCAAAGGAATGATTTCAGTGAGCCCAGACTCTTGCATCTTCCCAGATACAGAAAAGCACTAAATTCCTAAACTTGACAGATTGGGTTTTCTTTAATTAACAATAATTTTTGACCATTACCAGCCCTTTTGTTGCAAAACTCCTCTATATCCTGGCTCCTCCCCTCACCTCCTGGGAGCAGTTTCTCTGAAATGCTGTCTCCCGGGCTGCAGCCCTCATTTTGCCTCAAATCAAACTTAACCTCATGTTGTGCATTTTTTTAAGACAGATGCAAGCTTTCCGGGGACTCCCGGTGCCACGGGGGCCAGCGTGGACGTGGCAGCCGTGATGTGGCACACGGGTCCTGTGTTGCCCTAGTATCTCCTTACTAGGCCTCCCAGTTGGCCTACAGTTGTGTGTGGATCCTTTTAAAATGAAAAGGGCAACGAGAAGACAGCGGTGACAAGAACACGCTGAAACATAAAACCTCCTTGCTGTTTTCAGCTGCTCATATCAGAGAGGATGAAATTTCAAAAAGATTTCAAAATGCAAAAACAACCACCCAACCCAGCTGCCTCCCCAGGTCCTGCCAATGCTATTGTCCCAAATATGCCCTCGAGGCCCACCCCTCCCCCAGGCTGGCCTGCCTGTTCGGAGGCTACCCCTCAGCTGCCCCCCACCTGCTGAGGCTTGGCCAGGAGATAAAGGAGAAAGGCTTTCCCCCAAGGCCAGTGGAGGGATGCCTTCCGCTCTGAGCCTCCATTTCCCCATCTGCGGGGAGGGGGTGGGCACGGTCTCTCCCTGTACCTCCCCTGCACCCCACTCCCTCCCCGGAAGGCCCAGGTCACCCAGTGAGATGGGATTTCAGATAAACAATGAAACTCTCCTGTCCGTGTATTGCTTCTCTGAAATTCACATGTCACTGGGCCCCCTGGGTTTCTATCTGGGCCGCTCCCAGCCCCGCAGCAGGTACCCCTCACCCCTCTGCATTCTGCCTGGACCTCGGCAGCAGTAACGTGAGGGCCCTGAGCCCGGGGGTCGTGAAGCCCCAACAGGACAGCAAGACGTCCTTCCAGCCCCAGTGCAGTCACCCCACGGAGGGTCTGGCGCTCTGGGGGGTGCAGTGGGGAGGGGCACAGGTCTGGACCTTACAGGTCTGGACCTTTCATGTCTGGACCGTGACGGGTACCCTCTGGGGCGAACGCAGGCCACCTCCCCCATCGGGACGGGCACCCCATCCAGTTCTGTCAGCACAGATGGAAGGGAACGTAACACCCCAGCCCACGTGCCGGAGCCCCAGAGCTCTGGTCACGTGCCGCTGGCCCGAGAGGGACAGAGCATGCATGGAGATGGGGGTGGCAAGTGCCTCCCAGAGCACAGAGTCACCAGACCTGCGTCACCCTGTCCCAGATGTGCACGTGGCCCGTCCCCACCAGACGCACCGAGGCGCTCTGCCAGGTGCACGCCCTTCGCCTCCCCACACCGACCCCCCAGCTCGGCCCCCCCCCCAGGCCGGGACTTACCCAAACTGGGAGCCGGCCCCCACGGTGCTGTAGGTGAAGGCTCGCTCACTCTCCCGCACCTTCTGGGACAGCAGGCTGGTCAGCGCAGGGAAGTAAACCCCTGGGGCGGCAGAGAAGGCAGAGGCCCGCGCAGAGCTGTGTCCCGAGCTGGCCCGCGGGCCCTGCCGGGGTGGCCGGCAGAGGGGTGAGACGGGGCTGGAAGCTCCGCGGGGCCCTCGGTGATTATTCAAGCCCGGGTCTCCTTCCTCCCGCTGTCACCCCCAGGGATCAGCAGGGCTGGGCTTTTCCCAACACTCAGCTAAAGAGACAGCTTGGGGAGCGGGGGGTTCGCTCAAGGTCCTGCCACCAGGACGGCTGCAGGGGGGCTTCTGGGCCCAAGCTGGCGCTCCTCCACTGTCATGCCAGCTCCCAGAGCCACACGGCTCCAGAGTCCTGGCACCAACATGCAGAAGCACACACACAGGTGACAAGTGACAAGTGCACACGCACACACACTGACACACACGGTGCGTGTACGTCGGTGAGACCTGAACAGCCCCGTGGAACTGCACTGCCAGGTCCTGGATGTGATGCTGCCCTGTAGCTACGTGAGATGCCACCACAGGGAGATGGGGGAGGGAGCTCGGGACCTCCCTGTACCTTTCACTGCAACTTCCTGTAAAGCTATAATTATTTTAAAATCTAGTTTTAAAAAAAAAAACTGCATTGGCGAAAGCAGCTCTTGCCCGTTACACTGCGCTTTTCTCCAAAAGCACCTGGGGAAGCTCAGAGGCCAGGGCACATAGGGACAGGACTTGGTCCCTGCCTTCCCTTTGGGGCCCCGGGCCCCTGCTCACACCCTGTGGGGAGCACGTGGGGTGAATTCAAAGGAGCGCAGGCGCTAGACTGCCTGGACCACCAGGACCACATGTGGGCCGGCCCGGTGGGGCTGATCAGGAAACAGGCAGAGGCCCATTCCAGGATATACATCTGGGGTCTTGGGGGTACGGGCTAGAGGCCCACGCCCCACCAGAGCTCTGGGAAGTGGGGAGGTGTGTTGAGGAAGGGGTCACATCCAGAGGACGGATGCTGTCAGATGCCATGCTGGTGGAGGGCAGGAGCTCAGAAGGCCGTCCCACTCCCTGGAGGGTGGGTGTGCGCCCCTGCCACCAGCTCCCCCAGGCCACTGGGGATCTTTGAGGGGGGCTCTCTCCAGAAGTGTAATATCCCCAAAGAACGAGAGCGGGGGGCTTGGGAAAGCTGGCATCCCCTCAGCCTGCTGGCCCGGCCAGCGCGGGTGTGGCCTCCGACTGGCAGCACACAGAAACTGGGCACGTGCCCACCATGCGGCTGGTGGAGCCGACGGTGCCGCGTGGCAACCTGGCTGACACCGGATCCCTGGAGCGGAAGTTTTGGCAGAGGAGGACACGTGACATTAAAACGTGCCAGCCAGACTGTGAAGTGACTCTAGACACGGAAAGTGCCTTGGGCGCGACGGCCTCGAAGCACAAACAACGCCCGGTGCAGGGAAGCGAAGCCCAGAGCCGGCAGCCCGCCAGCGGGACGGCCCGAGCTGTCCGCCTGCCAGGGAGGAGAGCCCATGACCTCAGCAGCAGCACTGCAGCACTGACGCACCCGCTCTGGAGTGAGGCACACCACATGCAGGGGCACACACGAGGACACACGTGCACGCCCACGAGCACCCACCTGAACACGCGCCCGTGCACACAGGTATGCATGCACATACATACGCGGGCACACACTCCCCTTGCTCTGCGGCGCGTGGGCCCGAGGTCCAGCCCCCCGCAGCCCCCCTACCTTGGAGCAAGCCCGTGAGGATGCGAGAGAAGGTCATGAAGGCCAGGTGGGCGCTGCTGAGGCGGGAAAGCAGCGGCGTGGCGGCGGTGATGAGGCCCCAGGCGGAAGCCGACAGCAGGATGACCTTCTCACCCCCGATCCTGCACGGGGGACGAGAGGGCAGTGAAGGGGAGCTGTGCGGCTGGGCTGCAGGCCGGACCAGGAGACCCTACCGTGGAGGAACCCGGGGAGGGAGCCGGCACCGCCCGTCACTTGGAGCTGCCGTCTGGGGTGGGCGCTGCAGCCACATCCCCTCTGCAGAGGAGGCCGAGGCTGAGCGCGCAGGGTACAGCCGGGTCCCTCTGTCCCCATGGGCCCCAGAGCTGCCTCCTTGGGTGCCGGTTGCTCCCCAGGGAACCAAGCACCCGAGACGAGCTGAGCGCCGGCCCCAGCCCACCCCTGCGCAGCCCTCGGGTCTCCCAGCCCCCGTCCTGCTGTGGGCGGGGCCTCCCCCCATTCCCTTCCTAGGAGCCACTTCCCCAAGCCCTGCAGCGCGGGAGGGATTACCGGTCCCCCAGGTGGCCGCCCACCACCTGAGTCAGGCAGTAGCCCCAGAAGAAGCTGCTGAGCACAACACCGGCCTCCTTCTTATTCCAGCCGAAGTCCTGGCTCATGGCGGCGGCACAGACGGGCATGCTGACGCGGGCGCAGTATAGCAGGCATGTCCCCAGAAGCAGCGTCCCCGTCCACACCTGGCATTCGGGTCTGGGGAGAGAAGGGCCCAGTCAGGCCCAGGAGAGGCTGTTGGATGGGGCCCGGCCACCCCTCAAATGTCCACCCGCTCACGTCTGGTGACTCCTGGGAGAAACAGGCAGACACAAGAAATGATGCACGGGGTCCCCCAAGCAGCAGGGGTGGGAGCGGCCGGATGGCTGTCGCAGGGCAGAGGCTGAATAGCTGCAGCTGGGGAGGTGCTGCTCTCCAGGCCCCGGGCTCTCGGTTTCCATGGACCAAGGGCCCAGGAAGGCAGCAGGCTGACAGCTGGTAGCCGGCCAAGGGGGCGACGGGCTGGGGAAGAGGACCCCAGCCACAGCAGAGAGGAGGGTACCACAGCACCATGGGCCCCCGCAGGGTCCCCAGGAAAGCTGGGTCTGCCCAGCAGACCACCTTGGGGCAGGCAGGCCCTGGGAGGAGCCTGGGCAGCAGTGAGGCAGCCCTGGCCGCCTGGGAAGGTTGCCAGACCAAGTCCATACAAGTCCCCAAAGCTCCTGGCCAGTACCGTCGACTGTCAGTCACCAAACCAGGAAGTCAGAAACTGCCAGAGTGCAGAGCCCGGAGGAGCCCAGGAGATGCAGGTGCCTGTGGGACCCTGGGCGGGGCCCTGGGACCCCGGGGGACAGTGCAGAGCCCGGAGGAGCCCAGGAGATGCAGGTGCCTGTGGGACCCTGGGCGGGGCCCTGGGACCTCGGGGGAGAGTGCAGAGCCCGAGCACAGCGTGGGCTTTGGCAGCAGGACTGTCCACGGCAGTCCACTGATGGGGACCAATGGACACTGACCTAGGACGTGAGTGGGGGACACGTGTGGAGCGCGTGGCAGTCTGTACTGCCTTTGCGGTAGCTCTGTACATCTAGAACCGCCCTAAGAGACAAAGTTTGGGGAGGGGGGATTGGTATTTTTTTAACGAAAAAGAGAGAGGAGACTCAGTGCCCTTTGTGCAGGTGGAGGGGGGCTCAGTGGGGGACGGCCTGGGGGAGGAGCACCACTAGTGACTTGCGATGTCTTTGCACAGGGCGGGGACGTCCCCTGAGGGTGGGGGCCACAACTGGGGGGGGTCGGGTGAGTGGACAGGCCTTGAAGCAGTCTCAGTGGGGCCTTGGGGGTCCTGCCTGCACCTGGACTCACCTGCCCAACTGGGGTAAGGGTTCTCCCCAGGGTGGGGAGGGGTGGTGGTGCGAGACGCACAAAGGGAATAGGTTCAGGCTGTGGGGAAGGCACGGGGCCGGGGCTCCAAGCCCAGGGCCCCCGAGGCCTGCCCAAAGCAGCCCGAGGCGTTAGTGCTGTAGACCTTGGGGAGGCCACTGGACAGGTGTCCAGGAGGGTGAGGCCGGCAGGAGCCGCACGGGCAGTTCTCAGAACAGAGGGAAGGACGCCTCTCACCTGGCGGATGACCCAGGACACTGGAGTCTCACCCTCGCTCCCCAACCCCCCTTGGACCCCTGTCTGGACCTGGCGGGGGCTACCCCTGCCGGCCGGGCACGTGAAAAGAACAGCCAATGGGGCCCAGGGTAGTGGAAGCTTGGACTCCATCTGCGGACACGGGCAGGTCCCCTGCCTGTGGGCCCCACCCAGGCTCAGGCTGTGAGCCGACTCAGGCTCAGGCTGTGAGCCGACTCCGGGGGGACAGTCCAGGGTGAGGCCAGGACCACCCCTGGGAGGGCCGGAGCCCTCGCCTGCACGCCTCCTGGGGGTGAGAGACCTCGGAGGCCCTGAGGGTCTTGCCCGCTGGCAGGCAGCACCCGCACCAGGAACTGATAAGTGCGTGCGACGGCTGTGTCCGTTATCTCCGGGGCAGGACCGCTGGGCCAGCAGCGAGTTGGGGCTGCCCCCCACCCCCTCTGGCCCGCGTCCTCCTCCTGGCAGGGTGGACTCCGCACCCCTGGCGCTGGGGGAAAGTTTCGGGGCGGGAAGAAGCTGCTGTCCTGGACCTGGTCACAGACAGGGCGGGGGGGTGGGGGGTGGCACGTGGGGCTGGTCGCCTGGCCTCCCGAGCTTCAGTTTCCTCGGTGAAGATGGGCTCATGTCCCTGACACCCAGCTCCTTCTCGGGTCAGTGAGCAGCAAGGTGACCCACCAGTTCCTGGAGCCCCAACAAGGAGCTGTCGACCGGCCAGCGGGCTGGGAAAGGCCTGGCACCAGCACAGCCCTCCTCCCCAGGCGCCTCCCCTGGCGCCGCTCCCCCTGGCACATCAGTGTACTTTTCCACAGTCCAGGGAGCGAGTCGGGGAGCCTTCCCCGTGTCTCAGGCCTGCAGAGGCCTCCCCGGCCCCGCTGCTGCCCTCACAGCTGAGGAGCTGTTGCCCCAGGAGGCTGCAGCGTCTGGCAATCCCACTGGCAGAGACAGCTGCTTCCAGGCTCGAGCCCCTCCCTCGGGGGGTTTGGGGTAAAGGAGCCCGGCCTGCTGTCCCCAGACAGAGCCGTGTTTGTGGGCGGCGCCTGGTTTGGGAATTACAGTCCAAAGTGTTCTGCAGCACTCAGTGATGTGTGGTCTGATGTGGTGACCAACTCTCCCGGAGGAGAGACTTGGGAGCCGCTCTGGGCCCTGGCCTGACTCGGGGAAACCCGCCCTTCCCTGTGCCTCAATTTCCCCGTGTGCACTGGACCACGGATTTCAAACTGGGTCTCTGGGTGCCCGGAGGGGTGCCATGGGTGGGGCTCCCAGGCAGCACTCTTGGACGAGTTGCTTTTTATATTAGAACCTCCCATACGAGTCCAACGGGAAATAGGGTCCCGTGCTGGAAAGCCTGCCGTTCTGCAGTTCCAGGAGCCGGCGGCTGGACCGTGCCTCGGCAGGGGCTGGGGGGCTGCTCCCTTCGGAAACTGCCCGGTGACCCTCAGTGACGAGGGAGGGGCCGTCACGCTCCCACCCTCCTTCCTGGTTTGTAAAGTGTGCCTGGAATGACTCAGAAGCCAAGATGGTAAGGACGACAGTAGCACAGCGCATGTGGCAGGTCTCGGTGGCCTCCCCCCTGGAGAGGCTAAGGCGGCGGGAGGGGGCGGAACCCCACGGGGCAGGTCGCAGACTCACCTGGGGCCTGGTGGTCCCAGACGCTAGTTTCCTTTACAGAACCAAAGACTGTGAGGGGCGGGGCAGGGGCGGGGCGGGGGTTCTGCCAGGCCAGCGAGTCCCCAGGAGGCACCCGCTCAATGTCTGAGTTTGTGACATGCAACCCCTGGGGGCTCAGGGCCTGTCTCCTCCGCGGCTCCAACCGTGGGAATGACACCCCCAGTCCACCCTCTTGCCCCGTTTCCCAGCCCCGCACTTCAGGCCTTCGGGGACACTGCTCCCTCTGAGCAAACATCCCACCAGGCCTACTGGGAGGCACGGTCCAAACTGCCCACCAAAACCAGCCCAGCCGGCCACCCGGGCCCACCGGGACGGAGCCAGCAGAGGACTCATGAGCCCAGCCCTGCCGTGGCCTCTGACACCCGTCCAGGGCCACCTGCACAGCCCTGCGGGCGAGCCCTCAGCAAGCACACACGCACGGGTTGGTGCACAAGGGGAGTGGCAGGGGCTGGGGAGCAAGGCTTTTAACTTCCCACGAACAGCCACAGCCCGAAGTTGCCTTTAAAAGGAAGTTTTATTCCTTTATGTGGTCAGAGCGGCGGAGGGTCGCCTGCGCGCAGATGGGACCGCGTCCCCGGCACCTGCCCCTCCCTCGGATGCACTGTGCCGGCACCCCGGGAGCCTGGCTGTGTTTGCTCTCTGGGTGGGAAGTCCAGTTAGAAACAGGGGAAAGCCAGATGAGACTGACCTGCTCGGGAAGGCTGGCAGGGTACCGAGAATACGGTGCTGCCCCCCGCCTCCTTGTGGCCCCGGGAGGTCAAGAAGGGCCCGTCAGCTTTCAGGCAACCAGCCCACTCTGAGTTTAAGGCGCTGGCATGGGACGCCCTCTGGAGCTGGGGGGCCAGGTGCTGTGTGCTTCCTCCCTGGGCCCCGGAGGCCCCCGCAGCCCTGGCCCTGAGTTGGCGGGCAGCGCCACTGGGTGGGCAAAGGGACGTCCTCCACAGCTGCTGGGGACACAGAACGGACCAGCTGGAGGTCTGGCTGGAGGGGGTGACCCAGACACGGCCAGCTGCCAGAGGCCCGATTAGGACGCCAGACGCAGAATCCTGGCCCTGCGGACGGGCTTGCTAGGAACACGGAAGGTCATGGCAAAATCACCCACAAAAGGCCTGAAGACCTGCCTCCAGCCCACTCTGTCCACTCCCGAGCCTTGGGTCTGAGCCCCCAGCTCTTCAGGGTGCTTCCGTGAACCTTCTAGAACCTTCTGCATCCTGCAAATGGCCCCTGTGCATGAGAAGCACCCACGGCTGAGCAAACACAAGGTCACGTGGACCCTCGATTCAGAAAAGGGAAATGAGTCGGCGCTGGGGGCAGAGGGCAAGCAGGGGCAGAGGGCAACCGCCGGAGCGTGCAGGCCCAAGGCTGCCGGCGCCCGGCTGGGACGTCCCTGGGGAGCGGCCCTGCCTCGGGGGTCATCCACATGGCGGCAGCCGCCCACGGTCACCCTTGTCACGATTCTCATCACCTTTAGCCACTCGGGGGTGCGAACCACCTTTTCCCGCTGAGCCCCACTCCACCCAGGACCCCCGCTACCCCACCTGCAGCTGCTCCTTTCTAAACTGGGCGGGGAGGGAGGCGGTGAAGGCAAAGCCGGCCAGGTCTAGATCCGTTAAAGCGTAACCGAGGGGGAGGTTTCAAAACATTCTTCAGAGGTCCCGGCCCTCTGCCCAGCTGGCTGCGGAGCTGCCTGCCACCTGGGTCAGCGGGGCCTCGCCTCGACAAGGGGCGGGGAGAGAGCGAGGGAGCAGAGGCGGCCGCAGGGCGCTCCCCAGCCGGGCACACCCCGCATGCCTGCCGCCCTCCTGGGCACCTGGCAAGGAGACCCCGTGCTGCAACTTGGGCTTTGGGGCTCCCGCCCTCACCAGGCCCTGTCCCAAGGGAGCCTTCTGGCTTCTGAGGCCTTCCTGTGACCAGCTGTGGGAGGCGGGTCCTGCAGGTAGCAGGGCAGGCCCCGGGGACTCAGAGCTGGAGGTGGACGGGCCTGGAAGCGCAGGGCCTGACTCTGGGCCTGGGGTCCACTGGAGGACCTGAGGGAGCTCTGAGCGGCGGGCGGCCTGGGGGCTGCTCTGAGGGCTCGCCTCTCGGTCCTGGTCGCCCTGTGAGTCATGCTGGTGAGCAGATCCCTGTCCCAGGGCCTTCTGCACCCGGCAGCAGAAGAGGGCGGCCTGCCTGGGCTCTTCCTCCCTCACAACCGACACCCCCGTGGGGACCCTGTTGGCGTCACGTCTCTGGCACACGACGACAGCAGGGCTCAGCCAACTGCTGCAGGTGCCGGCGTGGTCCCCCCAACGCCCCCCAGCCCACTGCCTGCCAGCACAGGTGGCACTCAGTGGGTGGTCACAGGTGCGGTCCTGGGGGTGGGGAGGCCGTGCCTGGGAGCCACCCTGCCCAGCCAGGCAGGCCTCCCGGGACAAGACACTGCGCACACCACCCCCAGGACCGGGGCGTCCTGGAGAGAGTGCAGGGGGCTCTGGGTGGGTGGGGGGTGGCACTGGCCCTGGATGGGAGGCGTGGAGGTCCAAGGCCCCCCAGGCAGAGCAAAGGTGCGGGGCGGCAGGGAGCCATCTCTGCCCAGGACGCCCGCTCCCTCCCCTGACCGCCGCCCCGCCCCCACCCCCCGCCGCGAGGCCCCACCTGGACCACTGGGCGTCCTCGGCCGCTTCCCTGCGGGCCTCATCCGGGAGCGGCTGCATCGGGCGCGGACGGCGTGGGCACAGGGTGTCCGGGTCCGTTCCCGCCCAGCCGACCCACCGGGCAGCGCCGCCCAAGTCCACGTGTCAGTCCCAGCTGCGCTTCCGACCGGCGTACTCCCAGGACGTGTCGCCCCCGGACGGCCACCGCGGCGGGCGGGGCGGGGCGCGCAACTTGGGTCTCCGCCCTGCTCACTCCGTCGGAAAGGCCAGACCTGGCGCTCCCGCGGCCGGGCGGGTCAGACCCTCGCGCGCCGGGGCCTCCTCGCTGCCGGTCGCGGAAGTTCGGGATGGCGCGGGCACTTCCCCTGCAGGCGGCAGGAAGGATGGGGCTTTGGAGGGGCTGAGCCGGCGTGATGCCGGCCGGACACATTGCTGGCAGGGCAGCCTCCGCGCACACACACAAATGGAGGTGTGGTGGGGTGGTCCTCACCTCGCAGGGCTGCCTACGCATCCGTTGACAGCTCGGGGTAGTCTCACCTGTGCAAGGACAGCAAGACTCAAGGGGAACCAATTTTTTAAAATGGATCTTTGAAGGCGGGCTCCAGCCCTGTGACCCTGGACCAGCCTGGGAACCCTGGGCAGCCCAGCGCTTGCGGGGGGTGGGGGTGGGGGCTGAGTGTTCTGAGTACGGACACGTGCCGGGCCCCACGCTGAGCCCTGTGGATCCTCGGTCTCAGGGCTCCACCTGACCTCAGAAGGCTTCACACCCACGTGCTGTGCACAGCCAGCGCTGTGACGGTGGGGACACATTGGAAGCAGGTGGATTTCTGGGCGATTCTGCTTCCGCCAGCTGCCCCCTCTTCACCCTGCAATGCCCCCTCCACCTGCTACCCCCTCAATCCATCCTCCACACGGCAGCCTGGCGAACGTGGCCACATCCCACCCTGCTCCATGTGCGTTTGCCGAACAAACTGCTGTTCTTCCATCCATGCGACGCCCAACGGGGCAGAAGGATGGTGCTGGAGAGAGGTGTGTGCCCCAGAGGGCCTGTGACTCGGAAAAGTGTTCAGCTCAGCTACGACAGTACCCCACCCTGCTCCTGGCAGCTCACCCTCACCCACTGCCTGGGGCTCTTTGATGATGATTTTACGTACAGACCTAGAGCCACACTGTGGGGGGCATTTGTCATTTGCCCAAAGTCCCTCTCCTTCTGGAGCTGATGTTCCAGGGCGTGTAGACGAAACACAAAAAGGAGACCAAGTGGGGCAGGGAAGGGTGGCTTCTGCCGTGGGACGGGCTGAGAGGTGCTCCCAGAAAGACATACGTGTCAAGTCTGAGAGCCGGGAAGGAGGAGGCCGTGCGGGCGGGGCGGGCGGAGGCCCAGGGCCAGCTCCAGGACCACAGGGAGCCCAGCCGGGCTGAGGAGGGGGAGACAGGAGGTGGGGACAAAGTGCTGGTGAGGTCATTACTTGAACCTCACAAACACTGCTGTTCAACACTTCTGTTTTACGCTCAGGATACAACAGAACACCCGGAGATTAAGGACTCACCAGTCCCACGAGTCTGTGGCCAAGCAGGGGCCAGTGCCCCGTCCCCTCACCCTGGCCAGGGTGGTCGACGGCCTTCCGGGCTTCCGGCTGACCGCCCACCACCTCCCTTCCCGCCCCTCCAGCCCCGGCGTGGCATCCTCCGTGACGGCTGGGCTGGCTTCACTTGCAGAAGCCAGATGGTAAAATTAGTGTGACTGTAAGACACCACGACCCGTGGGAGAGAAAACCTCATGTGACAGGGCCCGCGGCTGAGTCTGCGGAGAGCAGGAGCCACGACCGGAGGAGGAGACGTCCCTCCGTCCTCTCCGGTGACTAAGCTTACATGCAGCCCAAACACGCAGAGTGCCTTGGGGTCCCAGCGGCCAGGCGCATCCCACCCCCAGCTCCAGAGGCGCGTCGGGGTCTCAGCCTCGTGCCGCAGTGAGCTGCTGCTCCACGGGCATCTGACATGGAGAGAACGCAGCTGCTCAGAAGCTTCACGTGGGCAAAATCTGCTCACCTCCAGTCGCTGCTCCGCTTGGTCAGAGCTGGGGGTAAACGAGCCCGGGAGACTTCCTTCTGTGCCACGGTCGGATGTGACCGTGAACCTGGCCTTCCAGCTGGGAGGCTTCCAAACCGCAGACAACCCGAGCCCCGTGTTCCTATCTAACTCCACCCCCCCATCCCCACAACGGGAAACACCTCCATGCTGTCAGCGCAGGGTTATCGCGATCAGTGACCCCAGACCACCCCTCCCCGCCTCCCCCCTCCCACCGCTGGGGCTGGGCCAGTCTGCTCACCACGGAGCCGTGGCCGGCATCCTGCAAAGACGAAGCCACTCAGCACGCTCCACCCGCCCCAGCGACTCGTGCCAAAGGCCACACGAACCCCGTGCCCGACATCTACGTAAGTAAACCACCACAAGGAAGGGAGAGCCTTGACGGCATCTCAGCGTTGAGGCACGGCCTCCAGGGTGGGCAGGCCCCGTGCCAGGACCAGCCCCTACCGAGCACCCTGCGGGAGGTGAGCACGAAACCAAGGGCCTGGGGGCACCGCGAGGGCCACCTGGCCGCGCCTGTGGGGTGGGAGGGGTCCCTGCCGTGGGTCAGCGACGGGGGAGGCCCCTCCTTTCCTGTCCCCATCACCACCAGCGCCGGCACCGCTGCGCAGTGCCCGGCCCGGGGCTGCACTCTGCACCCCGCCCATCGCCCTCCAGCTGCGTCCAGGGTCCCGCACTGGCCTTCCACAGAGGGTGCTCGGGAACCCGCCCCGCTGGACGCCAGCACGGGCACCACGGCGGCGGCCCCGGGCTTGTTGGAGCAGCCCTTCTTCTTTGAAGGTTTGGAAATTTCATATGTCACAAAAAAATTACTTAGAATGTTCCAATTCAGCTGAAAGTCATACGGTGGGCATGGAGCCCGACTAGCTCCATCTCCTTCACAAAACTGAAACGAGGTGCCAGTGCAGAAGAGCAGACGGCAGGCTTCAGGGTGGGGATGCAGCCACAGCAAAGCACGGACGCACGGCAACCAAAGTTCCGCCACGCTTCCAGGTCTACGTACAAACGTGTTAGTGTGGCACGGAACTCTGTTCTTATTAGAATGTTGTCGGTGGGGGGTGCAGTGGGGAAGAGCTTTCAGACGAACACTCTGAGAAAAATGTGCAAACTTTTACTACAAAATTAAGAACAGGCAGCAAAGGCAACCTATTCTGCGTTTTTCAGAAGATGTTGTGAGTGCTGCACGCATGCGCCCCAGGAATCGCCTGGAACGACAGAATCAGAGGGGCACCAAGTGCTAGCGGGTGACTGTTTTACACAGGCTCTCACACGACTGCTGCCAACAGTACAACTGACTGTAAACCCGAAAGAGCAGGTACTATTTCTGAAATGGAAACACACCCATCGTCAGAACAACACGCTTGGTGTCCAGGGGCTGGGGACGGGCAGCCCAGCCTGCAGTCACCGCACCTGATGCCTTTAATCTGGTCTTCTGTTCAGACCGAGACTTGGCAATAGTCACCCAGAGAGGAGTCCTGCCCCGTTATCCGGAGGACGGCAGTGTCTTTTTTTTTTTTTTTTTGCGGTACGCGGGCCTCCCACTGCCGTGGCCTCTCCCGTTGCGGAGCACAGGCTCCGGAGGCGCAGGCTCAGTGGCCATGGCCCACGGGCCCAGCCGCTCCGCGGCATGTGGGATATTCCCAGACCCCAGACCGGGGCACGAACCCGTGTCCCCTGCATCGGCAGGCGGACTCTCAACCACTGCGCCACCAGGGAAGCCCCGGCAGTGTCTTTTAACACAGAATGTGTACGATTCTCTCCGAAACTCCTGGTTCTGCCACGGTCCCCTAAACTAACAGCAGAGAGAAGTGGGAAAGTACAGACATCACACTGCGTGAGAAAAGCTGCCCCTCCACACATTTTCTCTGCATGTCTGTCTTCAGAGGGCGTCCTGGCTGGACGGCAGAGCCAGCCCTGCGACCCCCAGGCTTGCTCCTGGCATCTCAGTCCACGCCAGGACCAGTCCCAACCAACAGCTGCCTTTTCTAGAAACTGGAAAACTTAATTCAAATGGCAAAATACGTTAGATCTCATTTGCTTTGCGATAATCCCTGTGCTTCGGAAGAATCCCGACTAGGGGTCATTCCTCACGTGACTTCACAACACCAGGAACACAGAGCACCAGAATATTCGCACATTTTATTCATTTCAAGGCACTTTCCACCAGAAAGTGTGAAAGAAGAAAGAAACTACCCTGGTAGAACATTACATTTTGACAAACACAACAGCGAGATCCAAATGAGACGAAGCAGAGTCAGCACACTTGACGCTTGTTATCTTGAAATGGCTTAAGGTAGCCTGCTTGCTGCAAAAAGAGGAAACAGAGGCTGCAAAGTCTCTGCAAAGCCACCCCCTTGAAGATTTCCAGCCCATGGGGAAGGAACTAAGCCCCTTAAACAAAGGTAAAGAGCTGAAGAGTAACATGTGAATTCTCCGAGTCTGGCCAGCACCCAGCTCACACGGGTTTTAGCACTGGCCGATCAAGTCACTCACTGGCTGAACTGGGGAATAAAATAGCAACACTTCTCATAAGCATTTAACATTCATGCACGTGACAAACCCCATTCAAGTCCTGACAGTTGATGGATGATTCTTGCCCATTACTGTACATCTCAAACCCTCTCCTTTGAAAAATATTTCAAATCGATTATATATTAATTATGCACATAAACAATCTTATATACACTAATAATAAAGGATGCTTTTGAAAAAATGTAGTTTTATGTCTACTGCCCTAATATTTTTCTTCCAGCTTCTGCTGTATAAGTCTTAATTACCTGAAGATTAAAACCCCCTTTCTCCCTAACTTATTTTTAACCTCAAACCTCAGAGGAGATGATCCTACGGAAAGGTCACACCTGAGGCTGACGACCGAGAGAGGTGAAACTCATCACTTCTGGGGGTAAGGAAAGGACACCCCACCCCCCCAACCCTCACAAGGTCCAAAGGGCAGCATGAAGGGCCAGTCTAGGGCCTGAGTGGTCTATTTGCCTTTGCGCCCGTGACTGAATTACACAACCACCTGGGGAAGGAAAATCCTGCCTGAAGCTGTACCCACTGAAGACCAGTGACCCTGCAGACTCAAGTGCAGGTCGAAAGCGAGTGGTAAGTGGAGGGAAGAGCTGGTGCCACAGATGCTTCAGGACAAACACTCGGGGGGTCGGAGGCAGAGCCCCGACCTCCCCGAGGACCTGCTTCACTATGCATCCAGGCCCACGGGCTCCCCAGATTCGGCTGCTGATGGCATTTCTCTCCATCGAGCCCGGAGGCCAGCACAGCCCACCCTGCACAAGGGCTCAGACGAGGGAGAACTGGGTCTCAGCCACGTGGGCGCTCCCACCAGAGGGTGCACAGGAGCCCCCAGCCCCAAGAGCTCCGCGTGCTGGGGCCCCGTCCACCTCCACCTCCACCACCTCGCCCAGGGGCCGGCAGCTCTGCAACAATCCACAGAACCCCTTCCAGCACCGGCGCCCCAGGCCACCTGCCACAAAGCCCAACACCCGAGCCTGCATCTGGGTATCACCGACCGCACTGGGTGCCGGGCAGGGGACAGATATGAGGGCACAGAAGCAGGACAGGCACAGCACTGGCTGACAGCGTGAGAGATGCTGAAGTACGGCACACGCCGCGGCGCAGTCACCCGTCTCTCCAGCTGCAGATGCTAGACGGTGTCACTGCCGTCACATGGGGAAGCCAGCCCCAGAAGCAAAAGGTGTGCTGGAGATGATGAAAACTTTTGAGAGACCATTTTGGTCATTCTTGAAATTAAAGAGAAACCTTTATTTTTAACATAACTGCCCAGGAGAGATGGTTCATTGATCCACTAGGAAAGAGTCTCTCACCACGTACAGCACCAAAATATATATTTAAAAATTTAAAAAACACACAGCCCGCCCCTCATATACACACGCACGCACACACTTATCTTGCCCAAAGCCACACAACCCCGACCAAAAGGGAAAAAAATCAAACTCAGGACCCGCACACGAAAGAAGTCTTTGAATTGGGATTTACAAATTTATATAGTCTTTCCTATGAAAAAACAAAAACAAACCAAAAACCAAGGGGGGAAGGAAATACTTCTACACGAAGGCCAGCCGAGATGTGGGAAGATGAGGATGCGCTGTCTGTCCAGACACAAACAGAGAGCAAGACGGCCATCAGTGCTGCCCCGGTGCTCCGGGCGGCGGCCGCGGGGTGGACCAGTGTCCCTAAGATGCGGCGCCTTGGGAGCCGAGACGCCCAGAGCACGGAGGTCAGGCCATGCTGTGGTCCTCACCAGCCTTCCGGAGGAGACGGTGTCTTTCACCGCACGTTCTCCAGCACTTAAAAGGGCTACTTTTCCCTTCTGAAAAGATTCTGGGTCAAAAAAAAAAAGTGAAAGGGGGGAGGAAAGAGTTCTCTGCTGCCGTAAAAATCTTCAGTCCCAGACGGTGCTCTGCCGGCCCGGCGGTGCAATGGGGCGCCTGCCGACTCTACTTGGGCTCCTCGATCACGCCTTTGCTGAGGTCTGTCATTCTGGGGTATTTGACTTTCTTCTGGTCCAGCTCATTCTGAGCCCAAAGGAGTAGTTTCAGTAACTTTGCCAGCTTGGGTGTTGACTCACGATTTTCATAATCCAGGACAGCTTGGTTCACTTCACTCCACACCTAGAAAATAAAGGCAGCCAATAAAAACCACCACACACGCAGAGCGCCCGCAAAAGGGGGCCATCACAAGATGCATTTCGTGCGTCCTAGAAACCAATTTTATGTGAGAAGCTGGTTACTTATTTAACAAACATAAAGCCTGTGACCGTCAGGCACTCCAGAGGATGTAAAGCACACTACTTGTCCAGAGGAGCTCGCGGTGTGGTCAGCAGATATCACATCCGGCCTGGACGGCAGTGACATGCCAGAAGCTGGGCACGAGGGGCCTGGCAGAGAGGGCAGACCGGGGTGGGGGTGGGACCGGTTCCAGCCTAACGAGCCCCAGGACGACACCTGAGGTGGACCCCAAGGACACCCTCGTTCCAGGGGAGCGGAGGGTGGCGGGGAAGCCACCACGCCGTCGGGGACACAGAGGCTGCGACAGGGCGCGCCAAAGTGTCCGAAGCAAGTGTGGGCTTTTAATCAAAAGGTACTTGAAACCCCTCTCCTGCGAGTCTCCAGCTATACGGGAAGAGGGCTCAGACAAACAAGACAAATGGGCGAAGACGCTTGCCTGCTTTGTAACAGCTGTGACGCCCTGGGCTCCCGGTGTGACCCAGTGCAAGTGTCAGCTAGGGAACAGCCGAGGCCCTCCCAGCAGCGTCCCGGCCAGAAACGCCGTCCCGTTCGACACCACCCACCCACCGCCCCGTTTCTTTGGAAATCCTGTGAACATCTGTGGAGGATGCAGACGGAAGCCCCCTACCCGCCTGGCGCCCACCTTCTGCCTCTGCATCATGTTGAGCAGGTCTCCGAAGGGCGAGTCCTCGGGGTTGTCGAAGGCCAACAGGGCCAGCGTGCGTTCCATCTCGGTCAGGCACTCCCGGCTCTCCTCGCCCTGCTCAGCCAGCTGGGTCTGTGCGAACTCCAGCGCCGCCTCCGTCTCCCGCTGGCGGATCAGCTCGATCAGGTGCTGTTGCTGGTCGGGGCCCAGGCAGACGGGGTGAGCGCCAGGCACCTGGCCACTCGGCCAGTGACACCCCCGTGGTCGCGCCTGCTTCTCATGGAAAGGGCCTCTCAAAGGACAGAGTTGTCTAGCAACTCCGAGTTATTACATTTGCATTTTTAAAGCAAGAAATAGCTTCTGAGATACACAGAAGAGCAACTAACTCTAACCCCTTCCCCACGTCAATTAAAGCAACGTTCTATTAAGGCGAATTAGCCTCGTTACTTCTGAATCCCATAAAGAACCTTAATTTGTCAAGCATCCGTAAACCAGACTCACTTGTAGGTGGAAGTAAAGATAGCGGTTTGTGTCCAGAAGCTCCGGGTGGAGGCTGTTGACCAGTGCGATGGCCTCGGGAATCTGGCCTTCCAGTATCATCTCCCGGATTTTGATTCGCTCGTCGAGCGTTTCTAGATCAACACTAGGTTCGATCCCAGATTCCATCCGAAACTTCTCTGCTGCTTCCTTAAAGCCCTCTGGAAATGAAAACCATCCTCACTGCTCGGAAGGTCAGCAAGACATCAACGCAAAGCCCTTTTGTCTCCAGAAAGCCCACCGCCTTGAATAAAAAGCCTCTGCTATAACCGCACTTTCTTGGGGATCTGGGTTTAACACCTTTGTGACTTATCAGTTATGTCCCAGAAATGCAGACGTAGGACTTCATTTCCTTCCCCCCCACACCCCAAACGCTCTAACCTCCCAGCCAGGTGAGGACGGGTGCTGGTGGAGGGCTGCGGTCCAGGCCCAGTGCAGAGAAGCTGCCAGCCTGCTCCAGGGGAAGCAAGGCCCTCTCAGCCTGCAAGGCCCTGGCTACTCCCACTCTTAGTGAGTTTACAATTCTCTTCAACATCAGAGACTGATGGGAGGGGTGGTGGCCACTGGGAACTCACAGGAAGGAGACTGACTTTCTGGAAACATGTGGGTTTTCTCACCACGTACAGAGTTACCCTTTTGCTTCCCAGTGTCAAGGAGGACTGAGCGTTAGCCGCAGAGCATGTGCGTTTCCTTCCATATGCCCTTCCCCCTTTCTTGAGTTGGACACATCTTCTAGAAACAGTCCAGTATCATTTACCAGACTGGCCAGAAGAGGTTAATTACTTGGGTTTTAAATGTACTTCAGCACTTTCTTAATTATGCTGATCAATTGCAAAAACGTCAAAGGCCAAGAAACAGGTTTTTTCCTTAGGTCTCAGAGACCCGGAATCATGATCTCATCTCCGGAAGAGGATATCTCTTTAAATCCGTAACTACAAGTTTATCAAAAGAACACTGCATTTTCATGACGCCTGAACACAAGTGCACCACAAAACTTCAGTAAGTCCTGACTGTGTGCACAGAAAGGGATAAGGATGCCCAAGGGGCAGCACCCTCGTCACACCCCTTACCTGTGACCAAGTAGTTCATGATGAGACGGTTCATGTCTGCTCGCTGGACGTGTAAGTTATTGAGCTTTTCCATCCACTCATCCTTTGTGATTTCATCGGGTTTTTCTGTATAACTCATTCTGATTTATTTCTACAGGGAAAAAAGGTAGTATTTTAAGAATCGGTGAAGAATTCTATGACAATTGCGATCACTTCAGACATAAACACGGCGACAGAGCAGGAAGTAAAAGGGGGAGTGGGAAGATACTTAAAATGTGGAAGACAGCACATGCAAAGGGCCTGAGACTCAAACACAGATTCAGGGACCAAAGAGAAGGTTGGGGTGTTTGGAAGGTAGGATGAACGAGAGGAAGAGCCAAGGGTCTTAGGACCAGGAGGTCAAGGGTCGGCTGGGGTCCGATTAAGGCCCTACAGGACAAGGGGGATCTAGATGGACTCCCCTCTAAGCACGAAGGGCAGCCACGAGAGGTACAGGCTGAAGAATCACGTGCTGCGATGTGTGTTCTCCAGAGAAGCCCACATCACACCCCCTTCAGACTGAGAAAAATGAAGTGGTCTGACAACACCAAGTGTTCACAAAGACGTGGAGTTCTCCTGAACCCCTTTACCCTGCGGTCAGAACGGACCGCACAGCAAAAACACTTGGCATCGCTTTGCAAGGCTGCGCACATGTGCCCCTCACAGCCGGCTCTTCTACTCCTGGAGACTGAGACCCAGACACAGACGAGCCTGTCCACAGAGACACTGCTCGGGATGGCGACAACATGGAAGCCATCACCCGGATGTTCAGCCAACAGCAGCACAGACAAATGGACTGTGGTTCACAGGACCACAGTCCCATAGGACCAAAACCTTGGGGCAGGTGGGTTTCGGACTTCAGAACTGTCCAGGCTGCACAGACTATCTGCACATTTGACCACGTATCGTACGCCATCCCCTCTGTGGTGTGGGGCAGCACCCCACAAGCAGATATGATTTCTTCAGTGAAACGTATGAGGCCTCATACCAAGTGGAACAGAAGCTACTAAACAGCCTTTGGCAGGTGAGGTTTTGCCATCTAATAGATTAAAAAGAAAACCAAAAACTTTTGGTTTTCAGAGTTATGTGGATTTTAGAACTACTGAGAAGGGACTGTGACTGTATCCACGAAACAGGATTTACTAAAGCAAGTAAAATAAATGAATGTGACCACATGGGGGACTTGGAAACCAGCTGGACGAAGAGAGCAAGTCACAGCGGAGACCCCAGTGCGGCCGTTTGTAAAGAACAAAAGCAAGACAAGCTGTACAATGCTTGCTTAGCAGTAAATGCACTCATACGTTCGCAGCAAAACCGTTTTGCCACTGTTTTACGTAAGGGCACGAGACATGAAACTCAGGAGATGGTTACCAAGGAAAGGGGGCCCTGGGAGCACCAGCTGGGCTCTCGCGATGGGTGGTGAGCCCACCACCGTCCACGTCAGTTTTATCCTTTGTAACTGACATAGACGTTGTGGATATTACTTTATACATAGCAAAGCACATGCCAAACCAATTAAAAGAAATTAAAAGACAGCTCTGGTGCCCAGTGGACATGGGATGACCGTGGGGTGGTGAGAGCTGAGCAGGAATACCAGTGAGGAGCCACCCAAACAAGAGAGGACGGCAGCAGAAGAGCCACAGAGCACAGCCCATCAAGACTCTGTGCACGGAGCCAGGGCGCCTTGCTGCTGGACCCAGCGTGGAAGGATAAAAGAACGGAAGACTCAGGGACCATGGTGGGGTTTCAAGCTTGAGACCTTGCAGGATGGAGCCACAAATGAGGAGAGGAACAGGTCTGAGGAGCCGGGCAAGTTTGGGCTATCAGACCCACAGCTGGAGAAGTCAAGCAGGCACCTGGATTACAGGTCCTGAGCTCAGCGCTGGAAACAATTAGGGAAACATCCGCCACAAAATGACTGAAAGCCAAGAGTTCGCCAAAGATCGCCCAGGGAGAGAGTGTAGGTGGGGAAGCAAAGGGGTACAAGACAAAGTTCTCGGTCCGTGGGGGGATGCCATGCCCAACTCTAATCCGCAGAAGAACACTTGTCCTAAGACAATCAAGATGTGCTGTCCCTCACCCAAGGACCCATCTCTCCAAGCTACGCGCCGGTGGTGTAACTCACTCAGATCAAATTCTCAGTCCTGGACGACAGAGCGACGTTTGAAAAAGTAACAACTTTGGAGAACTGTCTCATTCTGTTTTGTGCAGGAAGAACTCAGCAGTTAAAAATCCCACAGACATAATTTAACATCCCATTGCGGACGGCGAGGAACACTTGCTCGCAAGAGCAACGTCCGGCCTCTGCAGCTCAGCCTCTGCTCGGACGCGGTTCCGGGTGGAAACGGTTCCCGTCGCAGAGACACCTGTGCGACGTGTCGAGAACTATCACCTCCTAGTAGGCGCCGCCTCGGAATGTGCAGACCTCCCTCGAAACGCGCTTCGTCAACAACAAACACCGAGTCTCGGCGCTCGGGCTCCGTCGCCTTAGGAGAAGGGGACATTTGGACCTGCAAACCCCGAGGGCGCCGCCTCCCCGGACAACGCGGCCCGATGACACCTGCTCGGACCCCCAACCCCGGAAGGCCCCCCGGCGCGGTCGGCCAGTCGGCGCACCCCCGCGGCCTGGCCCGTCCCCTTCCCGGGCCGCCTCGACCCCTCCCTGGCCCCGGCCCCTGCCTGACCCTCCGCCTCCCCGCCCCGCTTCGCCGCGCTCTCGCGGGGACGCTCCGCCCGACCGCCTGGGCCCGCCGCGGCCATCTTACCGTGAGGATCCCGCCTGCCGCGCTGCGCGGTCTCCGCGGCCGCTCGGGGTGCCGGCCCGGGCGGGAAAGGGGCGGCGGCGGCGCCGGGGAGGGGGAGGCAGAGGCGGGGGCCGCGGCGGAGGCGGGGAACGGGAGGGCAGACGCACCGGCGGCCGCCCCCTCAGCCACTTCCCGCGAAATCGCGAGATTGCAAGCCGACAGCCAATCAAGGGCTCTCGCGAGGGTGCGGGTCGCGGCGGCCGCCCGGAAGCGCGGGACTCCCGCTTCCGTCCTTGCGCAGAACTCCTCTCACGGCGCCCTGGCTCTACGGATTGGCGCGAGAGTCAAAAGGCGGTGGCCGCCTCTGGATAAGATGGCGGCCGTGGAGGCGTCGTTGTGGGGGAACTTCGAGCCGGGACGGCGACATCTGGACTGAGTCGGAGGCTAAGGTCCCAGCGTCCCTCCAGTCGTTTGTGTGAGCCCGAGGGCATGGGGCGGGAAGGGGGGACAGGCGCCGGTGCTCCGCGCAGCCCAGAGGCGGGGTCCTTGCCAACCCGGTGCTCGCCTTCGCGCAGGCCCGGGAGGAGCCTCCCGAACTCGGCCGGCGGGAGCTCTCGGTTCCGACGGTTGGGGCAGGTTCCCGGGCACGCGACCGCGGCGGGGAGCGCGCACCCGCTCGCTGCCGCCTGAGTCAACCCGGACGGGCCTGCCTTCGGGGAACCTGCCGGGGACCCGGGGGCCTTTTCCGCCTGTGGTCCCTGCGGCGCGGGGCCTAGTGGTTTTTCCCGCCCGTGATCCCTGCAGTCCCAGGCCTGGTGGTCTTTACAGCCCGTGATCCCTAAGCCGCGCTCGGGTTGGGCGGGGACTGCAGGCCTGTGCGACAAGGGCCCCGAGATGCTGCGGCCGGGACCTGGTGGTCGCGGAGACGCAGAAAGTCATTTGCGCGTTTATTTGGTTATTGCTGTCCGTCTGCTGGAGAAGAGTGCAGATTCCTTCAGATCAGGGTCTCGTTTTCCCGTTTCTGGAGAGTAAAGTTAAAAGATTTTGGAACCCTTCAGGAAGGAAATTGAGGGGCAGCCCTTTACTCCATCGAATGAAGTCCGGTGCCCTCCTGAGTTAGAATTCGGGGGTTAGTTGGTTTCCTGTGATTGCTGGGGAGTGAACTAAATAACGTGGAAGTGGTATGGGACTTCTTGCAGAAAGTAAGTGGAATTTGGCAAATAGGTTTGACAGTGACGACTAATTGTGGATATTTCCCATTAGGGTCAGTCAGATGAGCTAAATCTGCGGGTCCAGAGCCTTGAGCAAATCTATTTAAAACGCAGGCGCAACTGCAGTATGTGTCTGTAGTTACACCCTCTTCAAGTACTTAATCCTATAAACAACTTTAGAAGTCAACTTTATAATGGGCGAGGGGGTGCAGATTTTAAAAATTCTTTTCAAGGGAGCAGAAATCTGGTGCCCTAAGAGGCTAGAGAGTTCTAAAGAAGGTCCATCTGCACCTTCTGTGCGGGCCATAGGTTAATGGCCCGTCACCCCCAGAAGTGGTCCTGCACAGCCTGAATTCTGTCTAGATACCGGCTGCTTTTTGAAACCCACACTTCAGGCAGGATCATCTCTCTTTGTCCCTGGCTCCCTCTTCACACCCATCGGCAACTCTCCAGTTGCCTGTGTAGAGTGAGCACAGCCGAAAGACTCACCACTCCTACCCTGACTCTGGGCTCTCAGGAGCTGGGTCTGCGTGCAGCGCTCCTGAGGCCAACTCCTGGGAGTGGGGACACCATCCCGACAAGCAGGATGTCGTGCCACCCCTTCATATTCACGTGGTCCCTAAACGATTCCTTCGTTGCCTTCAGCACACCGTTCTATGTCACGGATGCCTGTTAGTGTGTCACAGTTCGCCACCACCAACACATGACCTTCATAAGAGCTGAAGCGGCTAGTATGTGGCAGGGATTCTGTAGATACTTGCTGAGAATGTGGAGGAATAGATGAGTGAGGGTGAGGACCTTCGCTAGAAGCAGTCTCAGCAAAAAAGGACAAAGGACGGGAAGTTAGTCCCAGTGGAGTGAGAGCAGAGGAAGAAGTCGAGAATGGCGCTCGGATGTGTATGTAGCCTGGTTGGTGGGGTCGATGGTGGCGCCAACTGAGGAAGAGCCGGCAGGGTGAGGAGTGAGATGGGAGGAGGGAAGGGGTGGTTAGGGGCCCAGGGTGGACCATGGAACGCTGGAGGGAACGATGAGGCTGGAAGTGCAGGTTTCTTGGTGACACCGTGAGAGTCCGTAAACGTATTACTTGGAGGAAGTCCGTGGAGAGGAGGAGCGGGGAGGAAGGGCCGGAGCGCTGCTGCCGGGCTCTCCAGGAGCCTCGGGGCGCAGCTTCCAGCAGAGCCACTGGCTGGGGCGGGCCACTTGATGTTCACCAAAAGCTGCCCTTGTGACAGGGCAAGAAGTTCGGTGAGCCGGTGAAGGCGGAAGATGTCAGATCGCGGTGAGCTGAGATGGGGTGGGGTGTCTAACACTGAGAGGCGCCTAGGGCCCTGCAGCATGTGTGCAGAGGAGCTCGCAGGTGGACTTGGTCACGGGAAATGCTAAAGCCATGGGGTTTGATGGCTGAGGGGGAGGCCGGTGTGTCGGAGAGAACCCTGGGCTTCGGGCTTGTGCCTTTGGGTTCCCAGGGCCGGGCCGCCACTGAATGGGGACACCAGAGGAGGGCTGGGATCAGCGGGGAGCTCAGAAGTCAGGAGCTCGTTTCGCATGCGTTAGGCTTTGCAGTGCGTTTGAGGCATCTAGTGGAGAGGTTAGGGGAACAGACTAGTGGATAGTAAAGGACAGCCGCACGGCCAGGAGGGCGTGAGGCCCCGGATGAAGAGTACGCAGTGAAAAGAGAGACGGCCTGGGCCGAGCCCTGAAGACACCCGCATGCAACAGGGGAGCGGGGAGCAGGAAGCAGCTGGGGGTGCAGGGCCACGTTGGTCATCATCTGGGGCAGTGAGCAGGTTGACCAAGATTTCAGCCCCTTGGGGTGGTTGACTGACTTCGTGATAGGAAGGCAGGGGCCCAGAGCTTCTGCTCTTCTCCAAGCCCTGATGGAGAGTTTCATTCTGACAGATTAACAGTTCTTTTTTCTCTCTCTTTGTAATTGGTTTTCTTTTCTTTTTTTTTTTAATTGAGGTATAGTTGATGTACAATATTATATGTTCCAGATGTACAAGGTAGTGATTCACAGATCAGCAGTTCTTTAAAGAGAGATGTTAAGGTTTATTAGTTTTGAAAGAGCAGGCAAGAGTTTTTAAAAAAGGAAGTGCAGGGCTTCCCTGGTGGTGCAGTGGTTGGGAGTCCGCCTGCCGATGCAGGGGACACGGGTTCGTGCCCCGGTCCGGGAAGATCCCACATGCTGCGGAGCGGCTGGGCCTGTGAGCCATGGCTGCTGGGCCTGCGCATCCGGAGCCTGTGCTCCGCAGCGGGAGAGGCCACAGCAGTGAGAGTCCCGCGTACCGCAAAAAAAAAAAAAAAATTAAAAAAAAGGAAATGCGTTTTGAGAATAAAATACACAGTGCTCCTTTAATAAAATCCTGGACTGTTCAACAACCTGGGTATCAGCCATGTTTTACAGAATTGCAGTATTTTGGAGGGCGTTTCTGTCTTATTCTCATACCCTCAAAGCATAAAATCAAACCCCTACATGCTGGAGCTCTGCTTTCCAGGGGATTTGGCAAAGCAACCCTGATTCTTCAGGATAAGGTATAAGCTGATTGATTGTTGCTGCTGGGAATCGTTACCACAAGTGGGCAGTAAACTCCAAAAAGTCAGTTCCCATAGCCTTAGCTTCACACGGTATCTTGTCTTCAGTTTCTCTGTGAAGCTGTTGGAAGAAGGAAGACTGTTGTTACTGTTTAGTTCTGCTGCATGTATTCAAGACCCTGTGAAGCACGTGTAATGGGGTCTGAGGTGGTCGCCTTCCCCCTCCTTGCGGGATTGTATTTCCCTTTCTCGATTATATCACTAAATCAGAAAGCACTGGTTTCGTCATAAGTTTCTTTGGATGGGTAAAGTAATATTTTAGAGTAATAGTTTTCTTGACCTTTTAACTCCTGCAGAGGTTGTAACGTAAATTGAGTCCAGCACGGTGCCACCTGAACCGCTTGGGGTGGGGTGGGGGCCGGACGGAGGGGCACAGGCAGCGTGCTCACAAGGCTACCAGTCAGTGCGCTGCTCGCAGACTGTCTCTGCTGAATTTGACCCTTCCCTTCACACCTGGCTGGTTAGGGCTTTGATGCACACATCGGAGATCCATACAGACACATGCACGTGTATATATAAACGCCTGTAGCGTACCCGTGCGTAGCTGTATATCTGTGTATGCTTTGAGGGGTTTCTGGTTTCTGTTGGTTTTGGTGGTTTTGTTTTTGCGTGAGCCCAGTTCTGATCACATGTCTGACTTGGGAGACGGAAGCACTGAATGAAGATGAGGCATTTTTTCAATCCATACCCACGCGTTCTTTTAAAAAACACTCGCCAAATTGATTTTCTTTTTTGACTTTAAAGTCCTCTTATATTTACTCTTTTAAATGTTTTTACTTTCCATTGAACGAGAGGAATTTTGTAT